AGATAGTTTGCGTTCTGATCAAGGTCAACAAATTGCAAATAGTTTATGTGAATTTGATTCAATGGTAATTCTATGTTCCAAATTCAAATAAAAATTCAAACCTTAGCTCGAAATACAAATACGAATCGAATTCCAAGGTTCCTGACCTCAAATCCTAACTCTAGACTCACACCTAGTCATATTATGGACTTTCAGAATTAAGCGTTCTCAATCATATACATTTTTATTGTTATCGTAATTTTACTTTTTCCTGTTCATTAAAACAAATTTCAATTTTGACTAGAGGAATTTAAAATTTGACCGAATTTTAATTTTGACTATAACACATATTTTGATTGTATACTTTCAAGTATGTTAAATACTATAATACTACTGAAAGAATATATAAATTAAATTGTATAAAGCAAAAACAATAGGTTTTTTTACCCTTGTTCCATTTGAATTTGTTTATATTTAGGTGAACACATACGTGTAGAACAGTTTAAAAGAAATCGAACATGAGCTAACCTTGTTTTATCCTTTTTTGTAAGGAAAAGATTGTTATTTCACTGTTTTTCACAATTCGAATGTATTTTTAGTTTAGCTCATCCAATACATATTGAAAGAATTTGTCTGTCATTTGCAATGTTGTTGCAGCATTTTTCAGGACTCAAAAAGTTTTTTGCTTATAGAAAATCAGTGTCCTATATATTTCCTATATAGTTAAAGAGAATATTATATACATAATGCTTTTTAATTCCTATATATTTCTATATTTTCGTCACGTGGTGCTACGAAGCCAACCATTTAATTATTGAAAAACGATTGAAATTTAGTATTTCAGATGTAAAAGTAATGAAATCAATCTAATAATTTTTTGTTAGCTAAATTATCGAGATCACGAAACGGAAATGATGCAAAAATAATGAAAGTCACATAATGATATAGTTTTGCTAAGTAATTATAATAATGGAATGAAAATTATGCATAACTGATGGAACTAATGCAATGATTTTCGTTTTCCTGAACAATCAAAATCATGTAATAAAAATGATGAAGAAAAAACGAAAGTAATCCAATGATTTTAATTTTTAGAAATAACCAAAATCACATAATGAGAATGTTGTCAAATTAATGAAACGAATGCAGTTAGTTTAATTCTTTGTGAAATAACTAGATTGATGAAATGAGAATGATGCCAACATAATGAAACTAATGGAATTATTTTGATGTTTCTAAACTAACTAAAAACATGAAATATTTTGTATGAAGATTTAAAAGATAATCATTTAAATGAAGTTTCTTTGATTTTTAAGTCCCCTTGGTATTTAGCGGGAGTTTTGTCTTTTTATGAACAGCACCTCTCTTGTCAGTCTCTTCCATGTTCACATCCGACATTGTATCGATTTGAGCATTATATATTACATCTAAACCAAAAGCTTTCTCATCGGTAAAAAGTCGCCTCTCGGTATCATGTTTGGTGCAATTATTCAACATTCAATTTGTGTATTCAACCCTCTTCTGTTTTTGAAGATTAATCAGTTCTGGTTGCTTAATATTTTTGTACAGGAATAAGGACCAAGATTTTCACGTTATATTCGCTGTACGATTGTTCCTGAAATATTGATGTCAACAGCTAATCTTCTTGTTGGCATCCGTTCCTTCTGACCTAGGCACTATCTAACCTTCGAGATAATGACTTATATGTGGGGGCAACTTAAAGGGTTGGTAAATTGATATACCCGGTGTTGTTGATCATGTTTATGCATAATACAATTGTTCTGAATAAAACCACTCCGGGCAAATCACGATATATTTTCACCGATTCATCACTATTTTCATATTTATTTTTTACAGCTGTTTGTGCGTCTTTACTGTTCATCTTTTTTTTAAATATATCTAAAATAATTTTTGATTCCAATCATATAGAGTTCTCTAGAGAATCTCAAGCGTCATCTTTCGATTAAAAAGAATACCTTGATTAATTGGAGAATAGGTGGAAAATATTCGAAACACAAACAGTCTAGTTTATTCTCCACGGTCCACTATATATGTACGAACTGTAGAGAACGGTCATATACATTGATTATAGGTATTTAACAAATAATCAGCTGGGTTATTGTTTATTTTCCTCGTCAAACTATTGTTGTCCATGTTTTTCTTGAACCCTTTGTTGTTCATTTTTCTTTAAAAATCATCACTGTTCGTCTCTCTCTTTAAACCATTGTTGATAATATACCTATAATCAGTGTTGGTTTAAAATATCTTGAAACTGAAGAATTATGCCATTCCAAGACCGTTGCAGCTTGTGCAAGTTCTTATCAAAAATAAATGTTACTTCAAATTAATGAAATTTCAATCTTTGGTTGATTATATCAATGAATTGCATGAATTATTTCATTCATGATCACTTATAACGGAGAGCACAATATGTTATATATGTTATTGAAAACACTCAAGATGATCAAAGCTAACGGATAAACTATGTGTTGTCATCTGAACATTTTTCAGGCATTGAATCAATAGATGTCAATGTGAAAATCAATAATACAGCTCAAATTGATCAAAAATATTTATGTGACAAATGCGTCATATGTTCTTTATTGGTTCTTGATATTGCTCGATTGTCTGTGTGTTGCACTAATTTCAGATAGATATTACTAAAACTATCAACAAATATTCCCTCGAAGTCCATCTGTTAATATTCTTGATAATGTTCGATTTCATGCATTATTGTAAAATATGCCTTACTGTCGATCACGAAGTTGTTGTTGTATAAGTCATGCTGCAGAAAGATAACTGTCATCGAATGCCATTCAATTGATCAAAATGAACTATGGAACAATTAATAATATTTCCATTAACATTTTAACATCAATGCTCAACGATATTTGGCTGGATTGCAAATGTTTTAGTCTAGCATTATAAACGAAGTCTACTCCAATTGATTACAATCAATCTTCACGATACACATACTCGAACCCGAGCATAAAAAACCGTTCTCAAAACTAAACTCGATGATAAAGAATTTCAAATAACGAAGAATTAAGAAAGAATGCAAGGTACCAAACCAACGCCTAATTTTCCTAGGCGTTCTCCGACACGGTTGATAGAACTGACACTTGCCATATTTTACCTAAACCAAGCTAAAAGCTCATACGAATGAACATATCAATGAGGATGGATTTTATGAAATTATCATGTCAACACAAATAAATAATTTACTAAAAGGAAAAATCCAATTGAAACAGTCGAACAGAAAAGTGTACAATGCTATTATCCAGTACACTCATCATATTGTTCTAGAATGGTGTTGGCAATGTTCTTATGGAAAAGTCATGATTGACGCCTGTAGCCATGCGATATCAATTCGTTAGTATTTAGACTTGGCACATTATAATACCTCAAAAGTAAAACAATTGTCAAGCAACTATATTAAATTTTTCAAAGATGCATTATATATGCTTTCCAATAACGATGACAGCAATGATGATTAAACCTTCTATAGTCTTGCATAAAATTAAATTTCACAGTTATTCGCAACCTCGTGTAAATACACGCATATTATTAATCCATGCGAAGTATTATTAAAATACAACTCACTTATTTCAACTGATTGTTTTTTCCTCGCCATTAATCTAGTCAAAGAACCAAAATGCGGCGTTCTCATTAAGAACGGAAAAGGATCACAGAAGCTTACAACATTTTATGAAAAAATTCTTTTACAAAAACCTATAAAAATAAAAAAAAAGTAATAAAGCCTTTAAATAATAAAGGAAGTTGATAGAACTTTTTAAAAGTTAAAAACGAAACAAATAAAAAATCTCGCACAAATATTTAAATCAGCTTGGTTTCATCTAACTGTGTGTGACACTGATCATTCCGATCAGAGTGAAAAATATTCAAGCAACCGTCAGTTTCGGTGAAAACTTCTATTTTTTCAAGTTTTCAAATGAGACTAGATATTCTTCGTTTTGATCGAGCTCTTCCGGTTTATGCACAGTTAGAAGAAATCAAGCTAAGCAGTTTATAATAAAATTTTTGTAGAATCTCATAGTTTTCTCGTAGAGAAAAATCTTCATCATTTTCAGCGACACCTCTGTCTTGATACATGCCTATCTTTTTTAAAAAGAATTTTGGTGCAGTACAACCACCTGATTATTTCTAGTTATCTCATTAGATAGAATACAAAGCAGCATAGCTTCTTGAGAAGACACAACAACATCGATCATAGTGACCTCCAAACTAGTGACCACAAACTCTGATTGGTTTACTACTTCATAGTTAAATATCGGGATGAATCATTATGTAAGATGAAAACGTTTGAAATATTTCTAAAATTTAAAAAAAACCAAGATGAACTTGTCTTCATCATTATGATATTTAAAAACATGTTCTAATTTTCACGAACTCCTCGCTGTGATTTCTTCAAACAAAACTCTCTCAATCAATATATTTCAAACAGCAAGAAATTTCAGATTTGTAACTCGTTACAAATTGAATTTTAAGACATTGATTAAAAAAAAAATAGACTCTATTTTCATATTGTCGAAGACTATTGAAATGACCCGTTGTCTGAATGATTCTAAGAAAAAATGCATTTGGACATACACATCAATTTCGTAGAACAAATTTTTCCCAGAAAATCTTTTTGTTTTTTCTGCTTATTAATCTGACGTTCATATTGAGTTTAACTCGATCTTTTCTGAGAAAAGTCGAAAATAGCTTTTATAGACGGTGCTACGAATTTCTCTGGCTTCGTGCTTTTTTTTAGAAAAAAATCAAATTCAATCCAAAATGAACTTCAGATTCATGAATAGAAAAAACAAGAGAATTTTCTGAGGAAAAATCTATTCAATGAAAGTGGTGCACATATTAAAATACATTTTTCCTTAGGATCACTATATCACGGATCAATAGTCATTCTTTCTAAATAAATCAAGCATATGTTCAGAAAAAAAAAACTAGAAATGACGAAAATCTTGATCATTGACTTTTTCTCATATCTTTTAAAGACGAAAATGATTAATTGGCGACAATTATACAATGAATCACAGGCTATTCAACCTGAAGATACGAATATTTCAACTGAAGTGATTATTTGATTTTTTAAATAAATTCTAATATAATTTTTAACTATCATCACTAGCGTGTTAATCGTTTGGTAAATATATATAAAAATGATATGATTGAACAAGATCTTCATCAATATGCTCAACGTTTATCTAACTTTGTTCGTTGTTGTCGAACATGTACATCAAAAAGTTATGTAAGATATTTACTTTTTTAAAGAAGTACCTATCTATCATAATTGTTAGGCGACATATAAATGGCTTGATACATATATATCAGGAAATAAAAATCTTTTTGATTTTCATTTATCAGGGTAAATGATTTCTTTTCTAATTGATTTATATCGACGTAGTATTATTTAGACGATCAGTATCTGCTTTAGTTTATTATTGGAATAAAACTTTATTAAAACAATGTAATGAACGTGGTCAATTGTCTGATTTGTAAGTAAAGATAACAAATACGTTGTATCGAAAATATTCTTTTCATTATTTTAGTAAACAAAATAAAGATGGTATGAAATTAATTATTTTCATAAGACCTATCTCCTGGCTTTTTTTAGATACGTTTTCCATTCCACTATTATCGAATATTGATGAAAATATTAGCATAAGAAAACATATTTTAACATCTCTTCTTCCTAATTTCATTAATCAATTGATTACTAGGTAATAGACAATAGAAAATATTTTTGAATAAAAAGATTTATTTAAGATTTCAGATGTATTATACATATCGAAAAGCTCAAAATTATTCTTTATCCATTCAAGTTCATAGTCAACCGATGAAATCATTTCGATTTCTATTTCAAGTATTTTAATAAATTTTCATTTTAATCTTGTGAGTTTTTTTTTTCTTCTCTTTAGACAAATATCTCAACAGTATTTATATGTTTTATATATGATGATAATAATCTTCATCAATTATTTTGGACATTTCGTCATTTAATTACAATATTTAATTGGCCATTAACAACGAAAATCTTTTCAAATCGATCATTTCAAACATGTTCAATATTTGAACGAATAATGGCGAATTATCTTGGTTTTATTGATTTATCTACATTAAATCTAAATCAAACTGATCTCTTTTGTGTAAGTGAATATTATTGAAGAAAATATTTTTATTCTTTTTGTGTTGTTAGTATCTTTATCGATGTTTAAAAACATGTCATCAAAATGGACCGATTATTTTTCTTTTTGATTATTCAACTATTTTCAAACCAACATTTTGTGATTATTATTTAATGTCTTTTCTATGTGATTTAATTCGATTTGGTAGTTACTATTCTTTGAATCGATTTAAAAAAACAATTATTTTATTTTTAGATTTATCAATACCAGATTTGATTATAATTCCAACTCGTTTATATAAATCATATTTATCATTTAGTCAACCATATTTATTTAAAGTAATATTAATTTTGTATATCTAGAGTATTATTATGTATTTTAAATGGATAGGAATTACTTGAATCTTTTATTAAAAAAATAAATATTCAAAAACAATTTTGTGAAGTGATAAAAAGTGAACAACAAAAACTTGTTTATAAATTTATTGATTGTATCTTTTTACATCTTGTATATGGTATGTAATCAATAGTGATGAATTCTAAAAACGTAATCGTTAATTATTCTTGTCGAGAGCATAGTTGAAAGAACAATGATCTATTTTTTTCCAAATCTTATAACTATATTCATAGTTTAAAGACGAAGATTTTTGAAATTATTGAACAAATGTAGAATATTCATTGTTGGGCTACAGTTGCAATTCCGAGTAATACCAATCTGTTAAGGAAATACTAGAAAGAAAGTTTGAGTAAGAAAAACATATTCGTAAGCTTCTTATCAAGATAATTTCTTTCTGCTCTGAAAATTTGATACCAAACAATAATATGCTGATCAAGATTGTCAGATCTTCTGAAATGGTAGGAAACATTTAGAAATTTTTCATTTTTTTCAACTTTCCAAATTTCAAGTTATTTCCGAGTTCTCATATTTTGCTAAATTCGAACTTTCATGAGTTCGATTATAACTTGAAAATTAATTCTTTCCAACAATTCATACATCTTTGTTATATTACTGTAATCATATACAGTACTAAGCGTTGAGACTACAAACAGTACACGCTTGCTTGAATCTAAAGCCTATCAGGACTTAACTGAACAGGCTGTGCTATTTAAAAAAGCCATTTGAATAAACAATTTCGCCAATATAAACTGAACTTTAAGTTCAAGAAAGAATTTTTTCACATGATAATTCTAACATGTTAAGCTGAATTAGATGCAACCGTAAATGATGAATTGAAAAATTTGAATACAACTAGAAGTAAAATTGACGAAGAGAAAAAATCTATGCCACTAACAATTTTCACATAAAATGCTGATAGAACAAAACATATTCCAATAAAAAAAAAAGACAATATATGTACTTAAACGTCAAAAAATTACTTTCTGGAACTGATATTAAAGAAAAACTTTTTTAGATACAAATAAACTCGTTTCAACTGCAATTGAATTTCAACATATAATTGCTTGCATTGAACTATGTCAAATACCAATCAATATGGTTTGTTCATATTTAAATGAAATATACATTTCTATATATATATATATATACCTTTTATCCTATAATATTAGTCACCAACAGTAGAAACTATTTATAATACTCTTCAAACTATTCTGAAAACATGTCCATTTATTATAACGGACAATCATAAATGGAATGAAATAACTCAACAATATATTGAAGAATATTATTTAAAATTAGATAAAAATAATTCTAAATCAAAATTAATCTCAATAATACGAAAAGAATATTTTCTGGATATTTTAGCAGGTAATTTAATTTTTAATTAAATATTATGAATTCATTATTTGTTCTTATTTTGAGCATTATCAATTCTATCAAAAGTTCAACATATTGAAAATATTTCACGTGTATTTGAATTTGACATATTTAATCAAATAACATTTCTTCTATTTACATTTGGTAATAAACAATATTTAAACATACGTTCATGTCAAAATCTTAATCAAATCATTCAACAAATAATTCAACATTGTCAATTAAGAAATTATATTTCAACAGTAACAACTATACTTTTTAAAATAAAATGAATTAATTGACGAGATTGTTGTTGTTTTTTTGTTGTTGTTGATTAGACTTATATTCCACAAAAATCAATGCGTTTTCGTGATACTATTTTATCAGATCATGAATGGAGTGATGATAATGATGATGTAATAGATGGTGAATTTATTGATCATGATAATGATGATGACGATGATGATGATGATGATGATGATGATGATGGAATTATCATAAGTGATTTATCAAATAATATTTCCGAAACAATGAAATCATCCTATCGAGTAAGAAAATTCATTTAAAAAAAAAGTAAATCTTTATTTAATTAATCTTGAAATTTTAAGATTAATTATCAAGAATATTATTTTCAAATGAAATTTTTTGCTAAATTATTTGGTTCTTATATTGAAGCAATTGTTTATATATTAAAATATCATATTGATAAACAAATGAAATCTTTTACATTAGAACAATTCAATTTTAATCAATCGTTCTATTTTCGTAAGAAAGATTTTTTTATTAATATTTATTGCAAATAATTAAATATTTTCTAGATGAAACATCTTATCTAATTTCTAATGATATACTTTCATTTGTACGTCGAGCATATGCATATCGATCAATAGAACAGTTCAATACAGCCGATGAAATACTGATGCTTTTTGAACCAACAGATGATAATATAAATCCATTATTAATAGATAATCTTGTATCACTTCATGATGAATTTGTTAAACTATTAAATTGTTGTTGTATTTAACTTTAACACAAGAAAAAAACCACACTATGAAAAATTATGTTTTGGATCAACTAGGTTTTTTTTCTTCTTAGATAAGAATTTTCAAAAAAAAAAAGTGGAGAAAAATAGGAATATCAATGATTTAATACCTAAGATTTTTTGAAAAATTAAATAATTATTTTAAAAGAAACTTCATTACAAAGATTTATAATTGAGTTTCTACGCAATTGTTTTATGACGACTATCTGTTAACTATGTATATTTAATGATTGACGTAAGCATATGTTTGATTACGCAAAATGTCGAAAGAAAAACTATGCAATTAATATAATAACTTTATTTATGTTAGAATATGTGTTTCTGTCATATGTGGACTTTGCTTACTAGACATTATTTGTCATACATTAGGATTATATCCTATGATCTAACGAGGAAAGTCTTCCAACTGATTAATTGCGTTGGAATCTGAACTATGTGCATTCTACAGACTCTAATGAGCTACAAACACTTTGAAAAGAGTTCGAGCTTTCAACTAACTACTGCTGAGATACTGAATTTTTTACGTTTTTTTTTTAAGTCAATACTTTGGTCATCCTCAGGAACGCTAGGATTTCAAGCTTTGCACAGAGACAGATTGTAACTAGAATAGTTTATTTTGAAAATTTCTAGTCTTTTGATTTACTCTTTTCCTAAAATAATGAACACCAACTCTGCTGGTGCATATGAGAATAGAGTGACAGACAAGCTATTATTATAGCTATATTTTATGCTAGGAGAAACAAAAATATCTGACACTTTCACAATACATTGTTCTTGTTAAGATCTGTTTCTATGCAAAGCTTCAAGTCAAAATTCGAAACGGAATTTTTTCAGTATTTTCGAGAAGGACAACGGCAATTAATTAACAAAATACCCAGCAAATGTAGTGTCTCATCAGCAATAAGCTAAGGATTCGACTTCTTTTTCATAAATCTATAGCTCATTAGAGTCTACATAATGCATATAGTCTCGACTCAAAAGCAATTCATCAATTGGAGTACTTTCCTCGCATATCATATAAAGTTAACAGACGAGAGCAAGTACTAGGACAACAGTACAAGATCATACATAAGATAGTTTTAATCACGAACGTAGAAAGCAAATAAAGACCTATAAAATAATCGAAAATGCAACAAAAGCTTTAAAACATGAATATATCATTCATAAAACAATCTAATCTGACGTGCATTCAAACGCATACTCGCTAAGTCATTTTATAGAAAATAAATAAACTCTTTCTGTAACGATTTCATCATTTAAACCAGCATGTTTACCATTGATAGAAGGAATATTCATAGGGCATATCCATAAAAATCATATTTGAAGATTCTATTGTAAAATATGACCACTCATCGGACTAAAATATTGTAAACTTTGATAAATTTAAAAAAAAAAGACTAATATTACTATAAAAATAATAATATACGATAGATTTTTATTGCATTTTCGATGAATATTTCATATTATAATCCATTATATAAATATATACTTTATTACACGTGATGTTCTCTTAACATTTTAATCATCAACAACAAGAACTTATATAGAAAATTTCAATATCATTTTTTTTTTGCAAATAATTCTTTACAAAAAAACAACTAATTTGATTTGACTGTGAAATATTTGTTATATGCACATTTTTCGAGTATCATTTGTAAGCAATCGAGTAGATATTATATTTTACAGTTATAAGCGAAAAAAAAGTTGGTAAGAAAAATTATATGTATGAGTCAATCAAAAACCTGACTCTTATTCAATCTTATTGATGCAATAATAACCATTTGAAATACAACAGAAAATATTTTCTTCTGTTTTCTATTTTAATATTTGTATATTAATCTCATAAATCTGTCAAATCATTTTTCAACAATCACCAATTGTCATATCTATTGATATTAAGTAAAGCTTGAAAAATGTCATTCTTTTCTTAAAAAAAAAAAAAGGTCAGTATCTATACTACTTGATCCCAACACTTAAAAGTGCATTATTATTGATCAGAGTTTCTTTTTCTAACGTAGAAATATAAATAAAATAAAGAATGTTCTATTGTGAAAAGCTTGTATAAAAGCAATTGTTGTTAATGACGACAACTTGTCGTTCGTTTTTTTTTCATATGTGTGTGCATGTGTATTATTATATACCTTTCTATATATGTCTAATGTCATCCTATAATTTATTTTTCATTTAACCATAAAATCATTTTGATGAGTGCACATATACTGAGGAAGAGAGAGAGAGAGGGGGAGAGATAGATAGATGTATCGTCTTTTGCTCATATTTAAATAGATGTGTATATACGCTTGTCATATTCATAGTGTGTATTGATCATTGGTCTTCGTTATCAATGAGTTATGCTTGAATGATTTTGTTGAATAGAAGAAAAAAAAGAAGTGAGAAAGCATATGAAGCATTTGAATAATTGTACAGGTTAAGAGTAGTATCATACATTTTTTTTTGTATTGCTCTGAATACATCATCGTTTCGATAACCACTCTTGAAGAGAATCGAACTTGTATGAAAATAATTTGAAAATGTTCATTCTCTTCTAAGTGGCCTTTGGACGATGTATATCATCTTAATATTATTCATGAAATAGATTTAAATCTATTTGGTAATTTTTTTTTTATATTTATTTTTATTTTAAACATCTAATTGAAAACTTAAACGTTCTGATGAATTCAAATTTGTTTGTTGAAATGGACTACTTAATCGTCGATCATCAATATCATTATGTTGTGTATAATGTATTGTTAATGATTGTTTTTTTAAAGAATGAAATAAATTTCTTTTAGATGTTTGTTTTTGAAATAAACATATTAATTTTTGAAATTCTTTTCGAAATATTGGTCCTGTTAATGTATAAACATAAAAATGTGATGCATGATTTATTTGATGTATAAGAATAAATAATGTTGTACTAGCCCATAATTGACAAGCATAAATTGTTTGAAATTTTTGACTTAAATGTGTACGAACAAAATCATTGATTTCTGATGGTAATGATAAAAATATGAATAATAGTGATGTTGATAATAAAAACCATGTTAATTGACGATCTTTTTCTCTACGACGACGATTTTTTCGTCTTATCGAAGTACTTGATATTAATGTATTTCTTCGTGTATATTTAAATATAATAAATATATTACAGATAAATATAATTATAAATGGTATAAGAACTGTTTTAATTATATCTATATATGAATCATAATGATGAACATAAAAAAAATTATAATTTTTAGATGCTGGTAAACAAAACCCATCATTATCAATATGAAAACCAAATAAAAAATGACTATTTATAAGACTAAATAAAATAATAACACATATAATCATTAATTTAGCTGTTAATTTTCGACAAAAACGATAACGTATTGTAGAATTTGAAATAAGAATACAACGATCCATAGCAGCTAATGTAAGAAGATAATTTGATATATCTGTAGACGCATAAATAAGAAAAATAATTGATTTACACATAAATGAATTTGATAATACTTGAATATTATATCCATGATAAAGAAGATTTTCAAATGTATAACCAATTAATACATTAATATCACTCATACTTAATGCTAAAAAATAAATTGAACATGAACGAGAACGAAGTGCTTTTCGACTAAATACAACAATAGATAAAATATTTCCAATAAAACCAAGTATAACAACAAGTGTGCCAGAATATCGAAGAAATAATGCTACATTAAATCTACATTGAATTGTAGCATTAGTTGAACTATTTTTTTCATCATACATTGTCAATGTTGTTGAATAATTCAAAGAAATTATGAGATATAAATAATTATGTTAATGAAAACTGAATATATGCAATGTTCTACAATTAAAAAAAATAAAACATTTGATTTATTTGTTAATATTTTAAAATAAAGGTATATATATATATATGGTCTCTATCTATAATGTATTGGTAGTCGCCGACAATTCATTTTTGTTACATCCATTTGTGTTATATATATATCTAATAAAGTAATGGATGTTCTCATAAAGATGATTTCACTTCATTGTTACACGTTAATGAAATATTCTCATGCACATTTATAAGTACACGAACGACAGTCATTGTTGTGATGCCAAAAAAACATAGATTAATGTTTTATGCCTATATGTTTTCATCAATTCTCGAATCTAAAAAAACGTTATAACTACATAGATGCTTATCTTGCGAACGGATGAACCCTTATCATTGAATAATAAAAAAGAAATAACCTATGATCTTATCGTACATCTAAATGTTGATTCATTATAATTACAAATATGAAAAACAAACTTGTATATAGACATCATTGATTTCTGTCGGAAACATGTGATGTTATATAATAGAGATAGGCTAATCAGAGATTTGTTTTAGTGTAAGTCAAAAAATGACTTAATTTTCTTAGTTTGCAAAAATATTTTATTTTACTGATTTAATTATTGCAATATAAATCATTAAATGTATTTTCGAAGAACAGATTATATTGAGAAATAAGATACCTAATATAAAGTGAAAAAAAAGCTTGTCTATGTATTTCAAAAATCCTTTGTTGTATTTCAATGTTAATCTATTCTATGATATTACCTACTTTTTTTGATTGTCACTTCTCTAATTTTAATCTTGAATTAGAAACTAAAATTAAAGTGTATAAGACACTAACATGTAGATTCACTTTTTTTTTTTTAACTTGACTTGATATAAAAAAAAACAAGTCACAAATCAGATCTGACTTATTTTGCTCATTTCTATTATTTAAATTCTTAGCGCCTTACTCTAATAAATGTTTGTCACGGAAGCATCTAAAGCCGAAATGTCCTACGATCCTCTTGTATATTGTGAGTATTAGAGAGTATAGAGAATATTAAATTGTGTAAATTAGAACGCTTACAGATTATATTACATTGCAAAAATACCAATGTCTGTTCTACTAATATTTACTAAGATAAATTTTCGATGTTTACTATTATTTATCTATAGAAAATGTTTTGAAAATTATGATAAGATATTATAACATAAATATCAATATTAATTCTATTAAAAACACAATAAATATATTCTTTTTTTTACTTATATTAGTGTTGGATAATAGAACAAACGATCAATAAATTAAGATTTATTTTCCTAACTATTCATAAATATTATAACAAAAAAAAAAAAAACTAATAAATACTTTTTTAAATAGATTGATTCATTTATTTCTATTAACTTACTTTTTAGTTGATTGTAATCCATGCATAACTCTTTGTGATTCAATTTATAATATATTTTATATTCTGATCGAGAAATTCACTGAAGAAAATTGATTTTTTCGCTTATATTTAACGGGTTAGTAAACGAATAAAATATGTAAAATGAATGACTACAAAAACTCTGAAAAGCAAAAAAAGAAACGGAAAAGCTTAATTTATGTCATGTTCTTTGTTTTTCTTTTTTTTTCTTATTGTGAAACATTTTCTATTTAGTAATCGTAGTCAACATTGAATTTGTTTTGAGAATGGCGAAATGTATAAATAGAAAAAGAAAAAGAATCATTGAAATTCTTTTGATGTTAATGGAAATCTATCGTATAAATTAACATGACACGCATCAAACCACAAGAACAACTAAAAGATTCCTTTCATATCGAATATAAAAGAGAACTTCCGCAACTACTTTCTCTACTTTATTACAGCAAAACTTAAGTTGTTCGGCATCATCATGTTCGTTTATTTTGAAGGAACTAATAGAAAAAGGAATTGAAAACTTCTAATATTAATAATGTTTCTATTATTCTTAGTTTTACCTTGTTGCATGCAATATATAACATTGGGCAGTTAGTCAATTATATGTTAGAAGAAAAGTGAATGAATCAATAGAAATTTTCAATGTTGTAATACCCTGTTCGGTGCATGGATGTGAAAAGAAGATATTAACTAAACGTTATGATAATGGAAACTCGATAACCGTTAATTTCCTTTTTCTTTTCTATGTCACATTTCTTTGAGTGACACTTTGTAATACAACTCTGTTACCATTAACAATGAGCTTTAAAATAAACTATTGCCTTCTATACAAAATTAAAAAGTATTTTCGCACAATTAAGTTTGATAGATTACTTTTCTTTGATTGTTCTTTCAAAAAAAAAAAGTTTTTTTTCTATTAAGTACAATTTATTCATGTAACTAATTCTAACTTGAGAAATCTATATGGAAATTATTACAAAATCAATATCATATAAAACTCTATTAAATATTATAGTAAAATATGTTTGTATTGCGTGAGTGCGTGATCTCAAAAGTAGAACTTTGACCGATAAATTAAAATTATCTATTGCTGAAATTCATTTCAGTCATGAATATATAATCAAACTGTGAATCTTTTTATACAGAATAACATACTAATATAGGCTCTATTTTTTTTGTAATGATCTCTTTCATTAAAAACACTTTGTACTTTTTCATATATAATTAACAAATATGTTTTTAATTGCTTTAGAATCGAGTTATTTGGTAGAATTTTAGTTTATTTACTTACATAGAAAAGAAATTCTACATCTATTTGCAACCAAAAATAGAATACAATTGTTATTGTTTAGTTCTGATTCTCATAGAAGAGCAAATGTACTTTTTGATCACCATGTTCTTCAATATGTAATGTGTCATCATTTCTTCTCCATTGAATTCTTTCAAAAAAAAAATTATACAATTCCTTACTTACAAATCAACTAGATTCTTGAAACTTGATCTAAATTTTGTGAAATCTAATGCTTTTATATTAGTGTATTTATCAACGTCAATAGCGAACTAGTCGAATATAAAATGACTGTAAATATTGATCAAAATAGTAATCATTATTGGCATGACTATAACTAAGTCGTACGTTCATCTAACATCGGAATAGAACCACTGAATTGGTTATAAGTATTTATTGTTCTAAGCGATGACTTACATTCAACAATTGCTCAATGTGACAAGATTTCTATTGACTAGTTTTATTAAATAGAATTGTTTATCTATCTCGTTAATTTCAAAATCTATTCATATTAATATTTTGTTCTTTAAGCAATTGAATTTAAATCGTATAGAGCTAGCGATAAAACGCGTTTTTACTTATAAGGCAAGCATAGAGAAAAAAAAAATGTTAAGAAAAGTAAGCTTGAAACTATGTAAACTCTAGATTTCGAGTTCACTTTTCCGAACAGAACAACGCAAAGTTGCAGGGAGGTTACTATAGCTGCGAGTTGTAAATCAATCTAAATGGAAACAACAATATGGTTTACACTATTACTATTCCAATGAATATGAATGGTTGAAAAAAAATAATATAAGATGCACGCAGAAAAATTTGGTAATGAAAGAATCTTGTTATTTGTTATAAAAAGAAAATTCTATTAAAAGGTTTCCTATTCTTTAGCGATTATATGGCCCTAGTACTCATCTTTATCGAAACTATTTACAAAACATCATTATATCTTTTTAATAACATCCTTGAATAAAAAAGAGAACTTTGTCATATTATTACACAGTTTAGATATATATAAGACAAAATTAAAATTAGAGTTCTGTTTTTTTCATCAGAGACAAACTACGTATTGATTTATATTTATTGAATGATGAGTTCTAAGTTTCATTTCATTAACAACACATATTACATACTTGGGTTTTTATGAACTAAGTAGAATATTCATTTCTATTTATTCACACTGTGATGTATATCATATTGACACCTTCTACGTCGACATTAAAATATAATGTTTCGAGATATTTTTATGCACAAACAAATTAACATATTAAGTTTTTTTTTGAATATTAAATTGCAAGAAAAGATGATTATTATTCTAAGACTGGGAATACATAACCTGGAGATTTTTTCACTTGTGTGGTCGGATCATAAATAAAAAAACTTTAAATACGTAATTTATTTACTTTTCATACACCTCATATAAACCATGTTAAATTCAAAGACAAATAAAAATTTGATAGAAAAATAACACTCAAATAAAAATGAGTTTTCAAGTTTCTTCCTTTTTTTTTTGATCGAAGAATACACAGAAAAAGTCTACAATTTCCTAAACTCAACTGACGACATAACCTTCCCAGATGTTGTCTCCGAGTTTCAATGATATTTTTGCTTATAGATTCTATACATAACATTCTAGTGAAAACTCTTAATATATTTGGTTTCTTATTTCTTCCTTTAAAAGTTATGAATGTATTTATTTTATCTCTATAATACATAACATACAATATTAACAAAATCCATTATTCAATCAAAATGTAAACTAAAAGTCAGAAAATCGTTTTTCTGTTGTCGTTTTTTTATATCTATTATACTCATAGGAATTTCAATGTTTTAGTATTCTTCGTTATCAAGCTATAGAATTACGTTTTCGTAAAGAAGACCATACAATACACTGTTTCACATAAAAGGATTCATTTCCACTATCATTGATTATATATGTTTGTAGTAATAATTTCGATGTTATTGCTGAGTGCATTTATTTTTTTGATAGTGGCCTACTTACCATACACTGATTATTTTCCATGTGTTCTATCATTAATCATCTTCTATTATATGTGTTACATTTTTTTAATTATGTCTATAACACATATTTTTGAATGTTTCTTGTAACAGGTATTTTTCTTTCCTTATGCTTTCCTTTTCCCTTTTGCTGTCATCCGGTGAAGTATTCCCATCTAATAATAGAAATTACCATCATATATAGTGCTGCTGATCTTCTATGAAAGTTTCGATATACAGTGTGTGATAATTGACGTTATCG